TGTCTGTCTGTCTGTCTGTCTGTCTGTCTGTCTGTCTGTCTGTCTGTCTGTCTGTCTGTCTGTCTGTCTGTCTGTCTGCCTATCTAGACAGACCTTTATTGTCCAGAGCACAATGAAATTACAGTTCAGAACACCCATTCAATACTGTATATCACCATTACAAACATTTTGGAAACTGTAAAGACTGTAAAAAAATGTCGTTTTCAAAAACAACACGATCATTTTTTGAGTAATAACTTCTGGAATGCACTATTTCTCCATGGTGATCTGTTTGTCATAAAATAAGAAACATCCATTTTATTTTAATAACTAAATATCAGCAAAAACAAAAAACAAAAAAAAACATAGAATAAGATGAACAATTTAGATGAATTACTTATAAAACATGGGGAAAAAAATCCTAAATCAGATGAGAAAACTGTTTAGATTTTTCAACTCCCCAATAATAAAAAATTTCAAACTTTTAGGGAGAGAAATACAACTGCAAATACCCAAAATAAGTTTTGTGTGCTTATTTCAGAATGGAGAGAAGGCCTTTAATGGGAAAGAGAAAGTAATTTTTCTTCACTTTAAAACATCTTAACAGTSTCCTGTGAGGGTCTGTGTTCAAATCTAAGTCAACAGGGCCTGCAGTCCAGTTAAGTTAGGGGAAGTTTTAATATTTCTCACTTGTGATAAAAAAAAGACACCAGCCAACACTGAGGACCAATTTCAACCAGAAATTTGTATGAGTGAAACAGGGCTGCGGAAGGTGTCAAAGTCAAGTCAACAAATGTCATAGAAAAATGTGTTTTACTTCAAGGTCAGTAAAGCAAATATATCATAAACTTACATAATCATATTTATATAGGTAACCTTTGAAGCATGTTTGTGGTTCGTTTGATGAGTAAAAGTGAGAATTTACGGTTGCTAAGCTCATCAGTTACACAAGCGTGCCTTGCTACACACATCGATCACGAACCAAATAAAACAGAACCAAAGCCCATGATCCAAGAATCATCATACCCCGAAGTTCCCTCCCTGTGTGTGCACAGTGTGTGAGAGCCTATGCCAGGCATGTGAATGAGTTGTAATTTAAAGCTTGAAACTTAAAGAGGCACAAGTGACACATTTAGCTTGACATATGGGTTGGAGGGGAGAGTGCCCCATATTTCATTCTGCCAGCTGCATGGTTATGCAATCTATTCAGTGTGATTCTGAGCAACTTCAAACTTCAAACACAAGTCCACTTCTTTAAYGTCATGTTCATTTGAACTGAGCTTTTGATTGTTTCCAAGCTTTAAATAACTTCATATTTTAAATTTCATTGTCATTATCATAAGGTAAGAAACCATCCTCTAGTTATCCGTGATGTCATCAGCTGCTCTTCAAGCAAAATTTATGAGTTTTGTGCAAACATTTGTGCCACAGGTTGACAAGTTGCTGTCAGAAGATGATATTTATTTACTTATTCAAGTGCTCCATGGTGTTATCAGCATCTGTTCCAGTGTTTTCCTAATGATATGAAGCTCTCAGGCATTCTGACACAATTGGACCCAGCAGATTTTATGTCATGTAGAAACTGACCCTAATTCAGAACTGTCAACAGGCTAACAGGCCTTGGAGGCGCATTGGTTAAATGTCCCTCTTCTTCCTTTATTGAATATATTGAATTTATATTTCAATTTATGTATGCAACATTTTAAAATTTTGTTGTCTTATTCTGACAAACTAAAAGGGAAACAACCCATTTTTGTCTCATTCTTTTTACAGTACGACTATAACGTCACGTCATCCAGAGATCTAGTTTTCATGTTTATGTTAAAGCAGCGCCACCTGGTGGATTTTTACTGTCGGTGCTGCACAAGACATTAAATACAGAGGCAAAGCATACTGGAAAGAATAGCTCAGTTTTAAAAAACGTTTGAGTCTTAAAGTATTAATTTATTATCTATGTTGATAATCAATAGTGATGATCCTGTGRTTTTGTGTTTTGTAATTTTATTCTTTGTTGTTGTTKAATAATYATRCTGATATGATAATATGGTAGACAWRAGCCTACAGTATGACATAGTGTGATGCAAAATTATATAAAACAAAAATATATTATATATACAATATGATGTCATACTGAATATTACAGTAATATGGTCATATCTCTGTCCATTGTCAGAAACCACATTTCCCAYGCACCGTAAAAACACATGATTCTTCATCTTGTGTTAAACAACCCACAAACTGTGACATATAGTGGACATAAAGTCACCCACAGCTGTTATTCCACACAGCTGATTGTGTTGTTTTGTACACAAAACAGGAGGAGAATGTGCGTGTGTGTGTATTTGTATGGGTGAGTATTCCCTACTATGTGAGCACAATTTTTTGGCATACACACCTACTTGAAGGGACAAAAGTGATATTTATGAGGACCTAAGCCAAGTCCCCATGGGAGGAAAATGTAATAGGTGGATTAAGGGTCAGGGTTCGGACTAAGGTGTGCATTGAGTTTAGTTAGATTAGATTATAGGGTTTGGTACCTTTGAGGTTAGAGAAAGGGTAAGGGTTAGGCTGTAGAAATGATTAGACATTGGACATGGTCATTGCAAAGTCCCATTAAAGATAGTAGTACTAGACCGTGCATACGTGTGTAAAGAGGGTATAGGGGGTGTCATAAACCTCTGTATGCAGAATTGGACACCTTAAGTGTCTGAGGTCACAACCTTCCTGGTAAAACTAAATGATTGGGGCAAAGGAGATGCCCTAAAAKGATTATTATAGGGTGGCAGGAGGATAGTTTATTTTAGGCTTGTGTCATTTTTTGAGCAACAAGTGAATATATTCGAAAAAATAGGTTTTACTGTACCAGCGTTTATACAAACCATCCAGCCCACCATGTCTCTGCTCTCATGGAAATCTGACATCTGACGTTCGTTTAGCTGCCTGGTTTTATCACATCACTTAAAATGCCTTTGATATCTTGGGTTTCACAGAGGTCTGAGAAGGCCTGAGTGGTCTGGTGCTAAATATCTGCTCTCACTTTCTTTCAGTGCTTTAATATTCCGGTGGTCTGCAGGTGATTCATGTGCATCAGGGACATTTCACTCTGTGTAAAGAGAAAATGTGATGACAAACAGGTGATACTGACTCAGTGCAAAACCAGATCTTATTATTTATTTATTTATTTATTTATTTATTTATTGCATTCAAGACTACAGATATGCCTGTAATAAATACGGAATTCAAAAAACTTTTTAAAGTAAAACTAAAGGCTAATGTTTCAAACTTTATTTATGACTAATTTGTTTGGATTACAGCTTTTAGCCTTTGGTTGTAGTGTGCTGTTGCACCAAAACTGTCAAGTGCAATATGATGTTAGTGCTTTTTAAAGTTGGATCTGAGGTTTTATATCACAGTTTTACCAAAGAAAACACAAAACACATCAAAAACTCTGTAAAGTAATTCAGTGAATATCAATTAACAAAGAATAATTAGCATTAAAATAGACACATAAGCTCAGCACACTGTCTTCTTGTGTTCTTTACAAGTATGGCACCTGTTGTTGTTTCTTTTTTTGTCTTTTTTCTTTTGCAATCAAAATGATTCATCAAAAAGGGACATTTTCATCAAATGTTACTTTTTAAAATATAATCATGAATTCAGATATTTAATTACAATAAAAGCATTTGCTAAAACAATGTTACAACATTTGTTGTCTTTGTATATCAGGAAGTTTTAACAGATACTTCCAAAAGTACTGTAGTATGTTTAAATTTACTTAAAAAACTATTTTATACTGTATTTATAGTGCAAAAAATATGTTTTAGATGTGAAGTTAGCATCAAAGAAATACTTTTGTTCAAATTTAAATTGTTGTTATCCCTGTTACATACATTAGATAATTAAATACATAAAAAATGACATTTTAAATTGTCATAAATCTGAATAAATGTGTAATATCTTATAAAAACAGAGAGAACAGCTGGTTTATTGTAAACTCCTGAGTTGCCAACCCACATCAGTGAGAGTCAATGGCAGGGTGGGGGTGGGGGGGGGTGTACTGAAGAAGAAAAGAGGAGGGAGGAAAAACGAAGAAGCTCACAGAGAGTTCAGTGTTAAAGGACAGAAAAGGCAGGGCAGCGTAGGTAGAGCGTCCACTTAACTCCACTCAGAACAAAGACAAACGCTGAGACGAAGCTTCGTGCGTTCAAGGGCAAAGAGGCTCGTCGCAGCAGAGAGTTTGTTGTGACTGTCAGGGCAACAGGAGCTTGGAGGAGCCAAGAAGAGGTGAGCCAAGTCTGGGGAGATGCTGTGAGGAAGAACGCCAAGTGATGGAGATTAAAGCAGGCGCCAGGAGGCCACAGCTAATCAGGTAAGACAATATGGCACCTTTTTACCTGTTTATAGCTCATGTTATTCTAAGAACCTAAACTCTCACTGTAAATAGTTTTTTTTCTTAATATACTTTAAGTTTAAAAAATGTGTATATCTTATCACACAGAGTTTCCATACATMATATGGGACTAAAATATCTTGCTTACACCTGTAATTTTGTGTCAAGTATTTTGCTACCTAATCTTTAAGTTTTCTRTTTTCTCCCTTTATCTACTGACTTAGAAACCGAAGGTTACATCACAACTTAACTATTCAAGGGTTATAATGATCCCCACAGCTTCACATTAAAAGAACACAAGAATGTTGAAGACATGCAAATGTTTTGTTAAGAGAGAAAGCATTATCTTCTGAGCAAATATATTCAACATGCTCTCCGTCCAGCTTCACATGATGCTTTGGGGTCTTCGGGCGTCACAAAGCCCACTCTGTGTCCCACACAGACCCTGCGTTTGTCCTGAGCTTCATCCCTCTGTAGCATGTCAAGTCTCCTCCTCTCCAGGCAAGAGACCTTGCCTGAATGAGCAGGAGATTTTTCGAATATTTCACAACACCCACGTTAACCCCCAGTGGCAACAAAGTTGTTAGTCTCTGCTCACGTTGCTCACAGAGAGTTGATTGTTTGGCTCTGATTTGCTCTGGGCCTGCCTGGTTGAGGGTTGTGGTCAGGACTAATACTGTGAAGATGCCAAACCTGGTCAGACCTCGTGGTGACCCGTGAGAACTCACTCAAAAAAAAAAAAAAAGATTTGTTGAATTTAGTTAAGTTATGGCAAGTGGTTCCACTGAACTGATTTGAGTAAATGCATCCAGATTTACACAATTACATCTCTTTACATTTACTCCGCTCGATTGAGGGGAACTGTGGAGGACTAAATCTGACACGATTAGAAATAAAAGCAGAAATGAATAAATGAATGCACTATTAATTTCCATGTGTTACTTTTACACTTCTCTGTCTCCTGTTTTTAATTATGCATTTCTGCCTCATTATTCAAATAAGGTGGGCGGTCTTCCTGGGTCAGCTCTTCTTCTATTGGTCAACAGACAGGAAGAAGCAGGATCCATGCGCAGATCAATGTGCATGCTTGTTCTGGCAAGGAGGAAAAACCATTTACCTGAGCCTTTGTTTTAAAAAAATAAACAAAATAATAATTTAAGAGACACAAATGCATCTACAAGTAAAATGAAAAATAAAAATATGTAGTTTTTCAAAACAAATTTTTTTATTATATGATAAAATATATAATTTATTGGAACTAAGCTGGAAAAATAAAGATGAAGGTCAAGTTAAATTATAAAACATGAGGTAAAGTTCTTTTTATTAAATTGGTGCATTTTAAGTGTACTTATTTATTTATTGGTCCATTTATATTTCTGCTTTTATTTCTTATTATGTCAGATTCAGTCCTCCATAGCGAACCACTTGACATAACTTGGCAAAGTAAATTAATATACTATATATATATATATATATATATATATACTATATATTAATGTTGAGGTTCTGTGTTGCATTTCTCTTATGATGATTTTATTTTTACACTTTCATCTACACTCTAAAACATTACTTGTTGAATGTATTTAACCAAGTTATGTCAACTGGTTTCACTAAACCAAGTTGACTGGTTTTTAAAAGAACATATAATTTGCTCAATTTTAGTGGAACCAGTTTGGTTAAGTAAATTCAATGTTACATTTCTTAGAGTTTGTGGTTCTGTTTCATGATTAAATGGTTGTAAAATAATGATTGTGAATCAGCTTCAGCAGGTGGAACTCATGATGAAAAAAAAATTCAGTGATTGAGGTCAGTTTCTAAGCGTTTAAATCATTGTAGTTTCACACACTAAATACAGCATGGATGATATAAAGTAATAAAATAAAATTATTGATGTTTTTTATTTTGTTATTCTGAAATGTTTGCCCTTCTTATTTCTTCAACCAGACTTTCTTGTCATTTTTAAAAGCAGTTTTGGACTCTGAAAGTCTATAAGAATTTGACTTTTTTATTTTTATCATTATTTTTTTTAATTTGCCTCCTTTTACACCCATTTTCAGTTTAGTTCCTGATTATTTCCAGAGGAATATTTTTTAAGCCTCTTAACTTCGTCTTGTGAGTCCTTCAGGCATAAAACGCTCCTATAAGCTCAAAGGATGAACCAGTGTTTTATCGACACAAACACACAATTTAGCAAAACAAATAAACAAACCAACAAAAGAAAATTGTTTTGAATTGAAATGTTAACAGCAACTTGTCACAAATTTATTTTCAAGGTAAATTTTAGCAAGGTGATTTTCAAAGAGCTGTGAGCAGAAAACTGATCAAGTTTATTTTATAAAAAAGACTTCTTTTGAGTTATTATTTATCTGAGTGTTTTATAGGCCTGAGACATCGTCTTTTTTTTACCACTTTTTCAGTTTCTTTTATTTGCTAGACACAATATGTCTTCATGTTCATGAAGGACTGAACAGAAAATAAGTTGAAAAGCAGCAATAGTCCATAATAAAAAAAAATACTTTGATGAAGTAACAAAAACAGCTTAGTAAATGCTGATTGTTCTTTGGATCCAAATTATAAAAAAAATAGGAGGGGGGGCACACAATTTGAACTTCTTTCTTTTTCAGAAGAGCAGTGTGGTTTCCATCCTGTCTTGGAACAGCAGACCAGCTCTACACCCTCAGCAGGGTCCTGGATGGTGCATGAGAGTTAGCCCAACCTGTCTATATGTGTTTTGTGGACTTGGAGAAGGYGTTCGACCGTGTGGGGGGAATACTCCGGGAGCATGGAGTACCAGTTCCATTGATACAGGCTGTTAGGTCCCTGTACGATCGGTGCCAGAGCTTGGTCCGCGTCAATGGTAGTAAGTCGGACTCATTTCCTGTGAGAGTTGGACTCCGCCAAGGTTGCCCTTTGTTACCGATTCTGTTCATAACTTTTATTGACAGAATTTCTAGGCACAGCCGAGGTGTTGAGGGTATCTGTTTTGGTAACCTTAGGATCGCATCTCTGCTTTTAGCGAATGATGTGGTCCTGTTGGTTTCATCAGATCATGATCTCCAGCTCTCACTGGAGCAGTTTGCAGCCGAGTGTGAAGCGGCCGGGATGAGGATCAGTGCCTCCAAATCCGAGACCATGGTCTTGAGCCGGAAAAGGGTAGGTTGCCTTCTCCGGGTTGGGGAGGAGGTCCTGCCCCAAGTGGAGGAGTTTAAGTATCTCGGGGTGTTGTTCATGAATGAGGGAAGAATGGAGCGGGAGATTGACAGGCAGATTGGTGCTGCGTCTGCAGTGATGCGGGCGCTGTACCGGTCTGTCGTGGTGAAGCGGGAGCTGAGCCAGAAGATGAAGCTCTCGGTTTTCTGGTCGGTCTATGTTCCTTCCCTCATCTATGGTAACGAGCTTTGGGTAATGACCAAAAGAACGAGGGTGAGAAGCTCAGTCATCCGAGAGGGACTCAAAGTAGAGCCACTGCTCCTCCACGTCGAGAGGAGCCAGTTGAGGTGGTTCAGGCATCTGGTTAGGATGTCTCCAGGACACCTCCCTGGTGAGGTGTTCCGGGCACGTCCCACTGGGTGGAGGCCCAGAGGAAGGCCCAGGACACGCTGGAGGGACTGTTTCTCAGCTGGCCTGGGAATGCCTTGGGATTACCCCAGATGAGCTGGTCCAAGTGGTTGGGGRGAGAGAGGTCTGGGTCTCTCTGCTTAGGCTGCTGCCCCCGCGACCAAACCCCGGATAAGTGGAGGAAGAAAGAAACCGACAGACATTTTGAACTTCTGCAATGATTTGCACTTTTTAGAGGTCATAAATTACAAATCTGGGGGGAACTATATACATTTTGGACATTGTTTAAGAAATGGTGGCTGTGGATGAGTGGTCCTCTAATTAGAGAGTTGGTGGTTCAATTCCACCACTGTTCTGTCACGTGGAAGTGTCCCTGGGCAAGACACTGAACCCCCCTCTGCCTCTGATGTGTGTCCCATCAGTGTATAAATGTGCAGTGAATTTAAAGTACTGATTAGTCTCTATAGGGCGATTTGTACATGTAGCCATGCGGGGACATAATAGCTGTGTGTGGTTGGGTACATGAAGGCACAGCTTGTGGTGTAAAGCACTTTGAGTATCCTGGTTTAATAGAAAGGCACGGTACAGTGCATTTACCATTTACTCCACAAACTGGGGATTGGAAACAGTTAGACTTGACTTGGTAAGGCTAGGCATGTACAGTAAGTACAGTTAAGCACAGTACAGTACATTACAGTAGTGCAGTACTGTACAGTAGAACAGTGCACAGTACTGCACAGTACAGTACAAAATATTTTAGTAAAGTACAGTATGATGCAATACATTACAGTATAATACAATACAGTACATTGCAATAGAACACAGTACACTTTAGTGCAGTACAGTACAGCACACTCACACAATACAGTAAATTACAGTACAATAATTACAGTACAATACAACTCAGTACAACAGTGCAGTGGTGCAAAACATTACAAAGCAATACACATGGTACAGTACAGTGCAGTACAGTACAGTACAGCACAAACAATATAGTACAAAACCAGGAAGTAGTGCATAACAACGTTGTTGTACAGTAAATTTCACTGCAGCTCAGTAAAGTAAAGTATAATACAAACAACACAGTACAAAAAAAGATAGTAGTACATAACAACATTTTGGTACAGTACATTAAAATTAAGTACAGTACAGTACAGTACAGTACAGTACATTAAAGTTAATTACAGTAGAGTACAGTACATTAAAGTAAAGTACAGTACAGTACATTAAAGTAAAGTAAAGTAAAGTAAAGTAAAGTAAAGCAAAGTACTATACGGTAAAGTACAGTACAGTATAGTACAATGGACAACTCCAAAATTTTTGATTCAGAAATGTCAGAAAACCAGCTGGCAGGTGTGAGGGAGATCTAGGTGACAGGACTGAGAAAGACCACAAACCTCTGCTGCAGAGAAGCTCACACCTTGTTAAACATTTGTCCTTAATATTCCACTACCATTATCAGCGACTATTTCCTTTTTAGTTTTCTGTCCTCAGCTCACCACAAAGCAGCTCCACAGTTTGGCTCTCATACCGGCCCATCCCCTGCTGCCAGATTGGTTTTCACACAGGCCCAGCCCCTCCCTGATTCCATGGCGACACAGCTGTCACCTGTCAGTTTCATGGCAGGGATGCGCACTGGCCTCTGATGGCCCAGAATAGAATTGTGGGAGAGTTTCGCTGAAAGTGGGAGCGCACAACATAGTGTCATAAAGAATGGACAGTTGACCGGGAGGGGGACACAAAGGACTCAGCTGTTTGGGAATGTGACTCGTGTGTTTGGAGACATCAGAGTGCTGTTCATGGACAGGATCTCAGGTTTTGATTGTTGTGGTAAGGCCTGGTAAGTTAGCTTCCACAAGTTCAGTCAGTGTGTGTGCAGGAAGGTTGCAGTGGTGTCAGTTGTGGTTCATGTTCTTTCTTAATATCTTAAGAATTACATTTTAAATTGACTGCCTATGACCC